TATTACGCTATAATTGGTAAAGTACAAACAAATGAATATTTTATTTAGCATCATTATTACGTCGCCTGAGAACTTGTTTGATCTACAAACCAGAGCGGATTCAGGCCAATGTCGACTTTAAGCGTTCAGAAACGATTTGATCTATAAGCTATATTGCCTGATCTGATACATTGTTTTCATTTTTTGAACTTTTCGATTTTCGGTTTTTAAATATTTTGATTTTTAAATATTTGTCTTTTATAAATTCTCAATTTTTCGATTTTAGAATTAATCGGTTTGATTTTCCCATCTCTTGAGTTTCGACTGTTTCGGTTTTTCAGTTTTTCGATTCTTCAATTTTTCGATTTTCAGGTATTTCCTATTTTTTAAGATTTCGATTTTTCGACTTCACTTTTTTGATTTTTCGATTTTTTAATTTCTCGGTTTTTGGATATTTCAGTATTGGGATTCTTCAGTTTTTCCTTCATTTTTCAATTTTTCGAAATTTCGGTTTATCTATTATCCAATTTTTCGATTTTGTAATTTTTCAAATTTTCAGTTTCACGATTTTCAATTTTTCGATCTTTGAATTTTACGTTTTTCCAATTTTTATTCTCTTCGATTTTTCATATTTCTTCAATTCTTCAATTTTTCGGTTTTTGATTTTTCAATTTTTTAAGGTTTTCCTTTTTCGATTTCACTTTTTTGACTTTTTGATTTCTCAATTTTTCAATTTTTTTATTTCTGTTTTTGGACAGTTCAGTTTTGAGATTTTTCAGTCTTTTCATTCTTCAGTTTTTCTTTAATTTTTCAATTTTTCGAAATTTCAGTTTTAGGATTATTTATTAGATTATTTATTTATTCATTTTTTTGATTTTACAATTTCTTAATTTTTCAATTCTTTGATTTGTCAACTTTTTAAAATTTTTGTCCTCTTCAATATTACGATTTTTATATATTTCGATTTTTAATTATTCAATTTGTGACTTTTCTAAATGCTCAGTTTTTCGATTTTTCCGTTTCTTGACTTTCAACTGTTTCGATTTTCCAGTTCTTAAATTATTCCTGTTTTCGATTTTTCAGGATTTTGATTTTTCAATTTCTTAATTTTTCAATTTCTTTAGTTTTATCAGTTTTTTGATATCGATGTCGATTTTTTACATTTTCGATTTTTAAATTTCAGATTTTTCAGATTGTTGAGACTAGTTTTTCAATTTTTAAAATTTTAAATTTTTCAATTTCTCGATTTTTCATTTCCATTCTTGAATATTTCAATTTTTCAAGTTTTGGAATGTTTCGATTTCTTAATCTTTCGATTTTTCGTTTTCCCGGTTTTAGGTTTTCTATCTATCTTACAATTTTTCGTTTTTTCACATTTTCGACTTTTCAATTTTCCAAATTTAACTTTTAAAAAAACCTCAATATTTCGATTTTTCAACTAATCGATGTTTCGATTTTTTAAATTTTTTATTTTTCAATTTTTCGATTTTTTTTGGTTTAGATTTATCGACTTCGCTTTTTTGATTTTTCGATTTCTCAATTTTTCAATTTTTTCAAATGTCAGTTTTTGGATACTCCAGTTTTGCGATTTTTCACTTTTTCCATTCTTCAGTTTTTCTTTCATTTTTCAATTTTTCGATATTTCAGTTTTGAGATTTTTCCATATTTCAAATTATCGACTTTTCGATTTTTGACTTTTAGATTTTTCGCTGTGTCGATTTTTTTATTTTGGCCAATTTCCGTTTCTCAGTTTTTCCATTTCTCCGGTTTTTCATTTTTCAACTTTTAACTTTTCGTTTTTTCGATTTTGGCCTATTCCGATTTGTCAGTGTTTCCATTTTTCAACTTCATGACTTTTCGATTTCTCGATATTTCAATTTTTCAATTTTTCGAAATTTGAATTTTTTTTTATTTCTCCATTTATCGAGATTTGGATGTTTCGATTTTTTGATTTTTCGATTTCTTGGTTTTTCGATTTTTTACTTAGCGAATTTTCGGTTTTAAGATTTTCCAGGTTTTCGATGTTTCGATTTTTCAATTATCCGAATTTTCAATTTCTTGGTTTTTTATATTTTCATTTTGACGTTTCGATTTCTCGATTTTTCGGTTTTCGGTTTTTAAATTTTAGATTTTTGAATTTTTCAATTTTTCGGTTTTTTGAATTTTACGTTTCGATTTTTCAATTTTTCAAATTTGACTTTTATAAACTCTCAATTTTCCGATTTTTCCAATTCTTCTTCGATTTCTTAATCTTTCGATTTTTCGATTTCCCCCTTTTAGGTCTTCTGTTAAATTTTTCGTTTTTTCAAATTTTCGATTTTTCAGTTTTCCAAATTTGACTATTATAAACTCTGAATTTTTCGATTTTTTAGGTATTTACTTTTTAAATTTCTCAATTTTTCAGTTTTTTAACTTCTCATTTTTTGGATATTTCCCTTTTGAGATTTTTCAGTTTTTCCATTCTTCAGTTTTTCTTTCATTTTTCAATTTATCGAAAGTTTGGATTTTTTCACATTATTTATTATTCAATTTTTCGATTTTACAATTTCCCAATTTTTCAATTTTCCGATGTTTTAGTTTTACGTTTTTTCAATTTTTCTCCTCTTCAATTTTTTTTCACATTTCTAAATTCTCAATTTTTCGATTTTTTAATTAATCGATGTTTTGATTTCATTTCTTGACTTTCGACTGTTTCGATTTTCCAGTTCTTTAATCCTTCAATTTTCCGCTTTTTCGGTTTTTGATTTTTGAATTTTTCGATTTTTCGACTTCACTTTTTTGATTTTTCGATTTCTCAAGTTTTCAATTTGAATTTTCTGTTATTTTAATTTTCACATTTTTCTATTTCTCGATTTTTCATTTCAGTTCTTTGATATTTCAATTTTTCAAGTTTTCGATGTTTTAATTTTGCTTTTTTAAAATTTTCCTGTATTTCAATGTTTTAATTTTCCGATTCATCGAGATTCGGACGTTTCGATATTTTGATGTTCAGTTTCTCGATTTATCAGTTTTTCAATAATTTATAACTTTTCGATTTTTATTTTGGTATATTATTCGATTTTTCAGTTTTTCCATTTCTCCGTTTTTTCCTTTTTTTATTTCTCTGCTTTTAGATTTTGCGGTTACCCAATTTTTCGACTTTTCGACTTCTCGATTCCTCGATCTTTTAATTTTCGATTTCTCGGTTTTTCGATTTTCCAGTTTTTCGACGTTTTCAATTATCCGATTTTTCAATTTTTTGATTTTTTTAATTTTGGAGTTTCGATTTCTCGATTCTTCGTTTTTCGGTTTCTAAATTTTAGATTTTTTAATTTTTCATTTGTTCGATTTTTCTATTTCTCGATTTTTCATTTCAGTTCTTTGATATTTCAATTTTTCAAGTTTTCGATTTATAATTTTGCTTTTTTAAAATTTTCCTGTATTTCAATGTTTTAATTTTCCGATTCATCGAGATTTGGACGTTTCGATATTTTGATGTTCAGTTTCTCGATTTATCAGTTTTTCAATAATTTATAACTTTTCGATTTTTATTTTGGTCTATTATTCGATTTTTCAGTTTTTCCACTTTTCCGTTTTTTCGTTTTTTTATTTCTCTGCTTTTTTTCGAATTCTCGATTCTTCGTTTTTCGGTTTCTAAATTTTAGATTTTTTAATTTTTCATTTGTTCGATTTTTTGAAGTTTCGATTTTTCGATTTCTCGGTTTTTCAGGTTTTCGATTTTTCAAATTTTCGATTATTTTAATTTTTTTTTCTCAGTGTTAATATTATACAATGTATCGAAAATAACCACAAAAATTGTCACTAAAAACATTTAAAAATGCATATAAAATTGTAACAAGTAACACAATGTTTCCAAGACATAAAAATAACTACATTTTTCCGAAAAAAGTCCATTCGATTATTATTACAATTTCAATAATATTGTTAATTTAAGACAGACGTTACTAGTATAAAACACAATTAAAGAATAAAGTCTTAATTAAACAAAAAAGTAGTTGCATGTCAAAATCAAGTGAAACATGTGTTATATTTGTAAATAAATCCATCTAAATATGTACTAAAAATTAGGTAGTGGGCAACCCACTTTACACTCCAGTAAACGGATCATCACTATTTAACTAGGCATCGGACGAATTGAATACGAAAAAGTTGGTCTCTAGTCTCTGTCTGTCTGTCTTTCTGTCGGTCTGTCCAGGTTTTTATTAGATAGATAATCTCCGAAACTACTGGACCAGTTGTTGTCAAATTTATTATTAAAAAATTAGGAAAGTTATGTAAATTGTAAAGTACTGTATAAAATCCTGAACAGAATTCGTTATTTAACAGAAACACAATCCGATGAAACGAAAAATGTTCTCCACGGTCAGATAAACGTTTCCCGCAATATTGCGAAAAGCTCAGGAGAATCCTTAACAATTTTCCTGCCTCACTCAACACATTTTATTTATTTACTCCTTGAACAATTTATGAATGTTTTCACATCGATCCGCTCTTTCATCCCTGTTCGAGTTGTCATTTTTGCGATCCTCTTGAGCAATTTCTTTAGCCTCAGTCCCTTGTGTTTCGAAATGCTTACAGACGTATCAAAGCACACGAATTTTTTACCTTGTTTGGGGATTTCGTAACTAAAGACAAGAGTTTGTTATTCTCATCCAAATTGAAAGGATTCCTTGAGTTCCGATATTTTTTTTGCTTTGTATATCTCTTGTACATTTTAATCGTAACAAGGATTGATGTCATCGTTTTTTTTTTGTGGAGAACAAACAAACAAATTTTCGTTGTTTTTTGTCCAACGCGTCAACGCGACTTTTTCGATCACAATTATAAATAGAATAAATCAGAAACAGATTTCTGCGACAATGCGTTAAATTTTATCACTTTTATCGTTATCGCGATCACTAAATACCAGAATCGCGTGTTTTCGCGTCTGCTTAATGCACCTGTAAGCTCTATCCACCTAATGGAACGCGCTACCATATGGCGACCCACCAGCCAGTGTCAAAATTCAATCACACGCAACAATAAAACCAGATAAGGCCGTCTTTCCACAATCCGACAAATCTGATAACGACTATCTTCCATATAAATAAATTCCTCAAGTGCCACCATTCAGATAATCCCGAGCCTTATATAATCCCGCATCGTATCAAAAACTAAAAAAATAATAAATAGAGGATGTCGATAAAGCTGTATTACGCCCTCCCCAGCCCCCCCTGCAGGGCCACCCTTCTCACAATAAAAGCCCTTCAGCTCGAAGTGGATCTAGTGCCAATCAATCTCGTCGCCCAGGAGCACCTAACAACAGACTTCCTCAAGGTACGTGAAGGTTTCAATCAAAAGCCTTTTATCTTTTATTAATATAGAGGCAGCGGTCGGACCCTCGTCAAAGTGATTAAATCGCTTTTTTCTTTGCGGAATTTGCAACTTAATTGCGTTATCGGCAGATTTTTTTTTGACGAGATAACTTTGATTCGAATTTGGGTAATTGCTTATGGATTTTATTGGTTTTAGATTAATCCGTTCCACACGCTACCGACGATACAAGACGAGGAGTTTTACATATGGGACAGTCACGCTATTAATTGCTATCTAGTGGATAAATTCGGGGAGGACGATGGGCTTTATCCCAGGGATTTGCAGAGGAGGGCGGTGGTGGACCAGAGGCTACATTTTGATTCGAATGTGCTGAGTGCGAGGTTCGCGGCAATCGTGGTAAGTTCGGTGTTTTTGAGAATAGTTGGTCCAAGATAACTTCACATTCCACCTGTTTCCTTGAACAGATAAAATCTATTATATAAAACGCAAAGTGTGTGTTTAGGATGACAAGTGTGTTAAAATAATAAAAATGGTGTAAAAATTTTTTAGAAACAAAAAACTATTACTATAAATCATTGCGTTATCTACAACAAATTGTCGCCAGGAGTAGACTGAAAGGGCGGGGCGGAGCCGAGTTTCTCAATTAAAACTCGCTTAGTAAGTCCGCAACTGTAAATTGCGGTGATTAATCACCATTATAAAAATATAAATGACGATGATTATAAAAACGAACTTCATTGTCCTTTTAAATTTGCTTCCTTTTGATTGATTTATTGACACAAAGATGTACTATTAAGAAAACAACATCATTTTTGATGTTCGTGTCAAGTGGCTCTTGACAATGACATCTCCTTGTCAAAGTGAAAAATTAAAGCGGCGTCGCACTATCTTAAAAACTACGCAAAAATTTTCAAACAGTGCCGCCGGTTTCGGAAAAATTTCGAATGACTAGAAATTTCCTAATAAATGTGTGTGATGACGACAAATGCCACTACCGTAAACCGTGACTGTTGTTTTTAAGTGAGGTATTTGTCGATATCTCTATCTGATTTGTTTAAAATGGTCCTCAAAATCTGGCAAAATTGCTACTGTGAAGTGGTCGCAGTGATTTCCTTATATTCCTCGTTTTTCTAAAAATATCGATTTCAGATCGTTTGAACAATGTAGTAGATATGAATGATTAGAGTCGAAATTCTGTGAGAAGAACACGCCAATAAATCGACTCAGTAGACGGGGAGATCTACTTCCGAATTTAGGGATTTATGAATTTAAATCGAAATTACGTTGTAATTCCCAGCTCAAAAAATATTTTTCGAATTTACGGGTTTACTATTTCAAAGCGGTTCAAGATATCGAATTCGAGTTTATACCATTCGATTCCTTGGACCTTTTTAGTTGCAACAAATCATAGTTTCGGCATCATAAGTTCGTAGTTCGGGTCTGAGAGACCGATAAATTGTACGATGTCATTTTTCTGAAGGTGACCTCATATTCAAACACTTTCAGGAAGCCCCATAAGAAAATTTTGAACTTGAATTCGTGATCGGGAGGTTCGAATTAGTAAAGATACGAATTTTTAGAAAGCTGAGAGTCGAATTAACGAAGATAGTTTGAAATAGTCGAAATGCTGAAATTTCGTATGGCAGAAATAAGGCGAGAAAATGAAGCTCTTTAGATGCAACTAAAATTGAGTTTCTAGACTAATTTTTCACTAAGGAATTCATTTCTGCTATCGGTTGTTGAATATTATTTGATCGAACCACGGTTTCAGTCGAAATCGTGGTTCAATCCGGATTCCAAAAAATGTTTTTCGAATTTACGGGCTCACTACTTCAAAGCGGTTCAAGATACGGACATCTCGTTCAGACCATCCGATTCCTTGGAGATTTTTGGTCCAGGAAATAGTTGCTCCGGTCTTATAAGTTCGTTGTTCAGGTCTGAGAAGCGAATAAAGAGCACCATGTCATTTTTCTATAGACAGTGTCATACAAAATAAATTAAAAAAAAATCAGGAAGCTCTATTAAGTCAGTTTTGAAGTTGAATTTGTGTTCAGGAGGTTCGAATTTGTAACGACACCAATTTTCAGAACACTGGGAGCCTAATTAATTAAGATAGTTTGAAATCGTTGAAATCAGAAATTTTCGTATGGCAGAAAGAAGGCGAAAAATGAAACTCTTTAGATCCAACTGAAATTGAGTTTCTGGACTAATTTTTCGCTAGGGAATTCATTTCTGCCCTTGGTTGTTGAATATTAATTCGATTTCAGTCGAAATCGTGGTTCAATCCGTATGTCAAAGAATCTTTTTCGAGTTTACGGGTTCATTATTTCAAGGCGGTTCAAGATACAGACTTTTCGTTCAGACCATTTGATTCCTCGGAGATTTTTAATCCAGTAAATAATTGCTTCGGTCTAATAAGTTCGTTGTTAAGGTCTGAGAGGCGGATAAAGAACACGATGTCATTTTTCTATGGAAAGTGTCACATAAAATAATTTTAAAAAATTCAGGAAGCTCCATAACTCAGTTTTGAAGCAAAATTCGTATTCAGGATGTTCGAATTAGTAAATGTGCGAATTTTCATAAAGCTGAGAGCCTAATTAATCGATATAATTTGATATCGTCGAAATCAGAAATTTTCGTATGGCAGAAATAAGGCGAAAAATGAAACTCTTTAAATCCAACTGAAATCACGTTTTTGGACTAATTTCTCACTAAGGAATTCGATTCTGCCCTTGGTTATTGAATATTAATTCGATATCAGTCGAAATCGTGGTTAAATTCGCATTTCAAAAAATATTATTCTAGTTTACGGGTTCAATATTTCAGAGCGGTTCAAGATACGGACTTCTCGTTCAGACCATTTGATTCCTCGGAGATTTTTGATCCAGTAAATAATTGCTTCAGTCTTATAGTTCGTTGTTCATCTCTGAGAAGCAAATAAAGAGCACCATGTCATATTTCTATAGAAAGTGTCATACAAAATAATTTAAAAAAAAATCAGGAAGCTCTATTAAGTCGGTTTTAAAGTTAAATTTGTATTCAGGAGGCTCGAATTTGTAACGACACCAATTTTCAGAACACTGGAAGCCTAATTAATCGAGATACTTTGAAATCGTCGAAATCAGAAATTTTCGTATGGCAGAAAGAAGGCGAAAAATGAAACTCCTTAGACCCAACTGAAATTGAGTTTCTGGACGAATTTTTCGCTAGGGAATTCATTTTTGCCCTTGGTTGTTGAATATTAATTCGATTTCAGTCGAAATCGTGGTTCAATCCGTATTTCAAAGAATGTTTTTCGAGTTTACGGGTTCATTATTTCAAGGCGGTTCAAGATACAGACTTTTCATTCAGACCATTTGATTCCTGGGAGATTTTTAATCCAGTAAATAATTGCTTCGGTCTAATAAGTTCGTTGTTAAGGTCTGAGAGGCGGATAAAGAACACGATGTCATTTTTCTATGGAAAGTGTCATATAAAATAATTTTAAAAAATTCAGGAAGCTCCATAAGTCAATTTTAAAGCGAAATTCGTATTCAGGATGTTCGAATTAGTAAATGTGCGAATTTTCAGAAAGCTGAGAGCTTAATTAATCGAGATAGTTTAATATCGTCGAAATCAGAAATTTTCGTATGGCAGAAATAAGGCGAAAAATGAAACTCTTTAGACCCAACTGAAATTGAGTTTCTGGACTAATTTTTCGCTAGGGAATTCATTTCTGCCCTTGGTTGTTGAATATTGATTCGATTTCAGTCGAAATCGTGGTTCAATCCGTATTTCAAAGAATGTTTTTCGAGTTTACGGGTTCATTATTTCAAGGCGGTTCAAGATACAGACTTTTCGTTCAGATCATTTGATTCCTCGGAGATTTTTAATCCAGTAAATAATTGCTTCGGTCTAATAAGTTCGTTGTTAAGGTCTGAGAGGCGGATAAAGAACACGATGTCATTTTTCTATGGAAAGTGTCATATAAAATAATTTTAAAAAATTCAGGAAGCTCCATAAATCAATTTTAAAGCGAAATTCGTATTCAGGATGTTCGAATTAGTAAATGTGCGAATTTTCAGAAAGCTGAGAGCTTAATTAATCGAGATAGTTTGATATCGTCGAAATCAGAAATTTTCGTATGGCAGAAATAAGGCGAAAAATGAAACTCTTTAGACCCAACTGAAATTGAGTCTCTGGACTAATTTTTCGCTAGGGAATTCATTTCTGCCCTTGGTTGTTGAATATTGATTCAATTTCAGTCGAAATCGTGGTTCAATCCGTATTTCAAAGAATGTTTTTCGAGTTTACGGGTTCATTATTTCAAGGCGGTTCAAGATACAAACTTTTCATTCAGACCATTTGATTCCTGGGAGATTTTTAATCCAGTAAATAATTGCTTCGGTCTAATAAGTTCGTTGTTAAGGTCTGAGAGGCGGATAAAGAACACGATTTCATTTTTGTATGGAAAGTGTCATATAGAATAATTTTTAAAAATTTAGGAAGCTCCATAAGTCAGTTTTGAAGTGAAATTCGTATTCACAAGGTTCGAATTAGTAAAAATGCGAATTTTCAGAAAGCTGAGAGCCTAATTAATCGAGATAGTTTGATATGGTCGAAACCAGAAATTTTCGTATGGCAGAAATAAGGCGAAAAATGAAACTCTTTGGATCCAACTGAAATCACGTTTCTGGACTAATTTTTCACTAAGGAATTCGATTCTGCCCTTGGTTATTGAATATTAATTCGATATCAGTCGAAATCGTGGTTAAATTCGCATTTCAAAAAATATTATTCTAGTTTACGGGTTCAATATTTCAGAGCGGTTCAAGATACGGACTTCTCGTTCAGACCATTTGATTCCTCGGAGATTTTTGATCCAGCAGATAATTGCTTCAGTCTTATAAGTTCGTTGTTCATCTCTGAGAAGCAAATAAAGAGCACCATGTCATTTTTCTATAGAAAGTGTCATACAAAATAATTAAAAAAAAAAATCAGGAAGCTCTATTAAGTCGGTTTTAAAGTTAAATTTGTATTCAGGAGGCTCGAATTTGTAACGACACCAATTTTCAGAACACTGGGAGCCTAATTCATCGAGATAGTTTGAAATCGTTGAAATCAGAAATTTTCGTATGGCAGAAATAAGACGAAAAATTAAATTTTTTAGATTCAACTAAAATTGAGTTTATAGACTAATTTTTCACTAAGGAATTCATTTCTTTCCTCGGTTGTTGAATATTAATTCAATTTCAGTCGAAATCGTGGTTCAATCCGCATTTCAAAAAATGTTTTTCGAGTTTACGGGTTCACTATTTCAAAGCGGTTCAAGATACAGACATTTCGTTCAGACTATTCGATTTCTTGGAGATTTTTGGTCCAGGAAATAATTGCTCGGGTCTTATAAGTTCGTTGTT